TTTTTTTTTTTTTTTTTTTTTACATTAACCATCCGTATTTAAAATAAAATCACGTTTTTATTTTCAGGGTTTTCCTTTTTTTTCCTTTTTTTTCTTTTTTTTTTTTGTATTTTTAAAATTAATCATGTGTAAATACAATTTTTTTAAAAAAAAATTTTTAAGCTTTAAAAAAAAAAAAAAAAAAATTAAAACGAGTATTAAACGTATTTTTTTTTTTTTTAAATTTTTTTCCCCTCATTCAACGTTTGATTTTTCCTCGTGTTGATTATTATTATTATTATTATTATATTTTTTATTCGCTTATTATTATTATTATTATTAATTGTTTACGATTCGAATATAAAAAAATAAAAAAATTTTCCTTTTGAAAAATAAAATGGCATTAAAATTTTGTTTTTTTTTTCCTTTTCAATTTTTCATTTAAAAAAAAAATTAAATAAAATAATAATAATAATAACTCATTTTTTTTCATTAAAAAACAAAATTTCATTTTATTAAGAAATGAAATAATAACCTTAATAAATAATAAATGAAAGAAAAACCTTTAATTTAATTGGGGGGAGGGGGGAAAAAAATTTAGATGTAAAAGAAAAGTTTTTTTTTTTTTCAAAAAACAAGATGGTTGTAAGTGGGGAGTAAAAAAACTCATTGTTTATAAATTTGTTTTCCGTTCTGCGAAATTACGCTATAAAAGGTGTTTGTAAAAGTACTTTAAATTTACATAGAGTAAATAAACTATTATTTCACACTCTAAATTTAATCATTATGAGATTTAGTTTTAATTTACGCGATGAGTGTTTGCGATATTGAAAGAAAAAAAAAAAAAAAAAAGAAGGAAAAAAAAATGAAAAAAAAAAAAAAAACTCACCCTTCCGCTTCCGTCGACGGCATTAAGTTCATCCGATGGTATACCAAAAATGGATGCCTTTCTAAGAATTTCCGTAACTTCATCGTCGTTGCCATCTTTAGCCGCTCTCAATATTTCCGGTAATTGCGTTGTATGATTGATTTGATTCAGGTTTGATCGGCGAGTTTTAAACGTTTCGCTATGACAACGAACGTTCGTAGTTTGATTTTGTTTTGAATTAACAATTACATTTGAACATTTAACGGATTCACCGCCGCCATGATTATTTTCCAATTTGAGTCCGTGAATTTTAATTGGAAATGGAAAACTTGCGGAGGTTGAAAGACCGTAACGCGCGAATCGTGGTGAACTTGACACTGAATTACAATCGATGTAAGTTATTCCTTCTCTCTTTTTCACATTGTTTTCCGTTTCCTCTTTTTTTTCTTTTTCTTTTTCTTCTTTATCTTCTTTTAACTTACTAAAATCTAAACAAAAAAAAATTTTTTTTTTTTATTAAATTATTTTTATATAAATTATTTTTTTTTTTTTTTAAGGGAAAAAAATGAAAACTTACCGATGACCGAATTACTTTTGGGTGGCAATTCGGCAAAATGAACCCTTCGAACAGGTGTAACATCCCCGTTACAATCATTTTTAATGTCATCTTTATATATTTTCGATGACGATGTAATTTCACACGATTTACTTTTTCTATAATTATTTTCAGTGCCGAAACTTAATCTTAGGGGACCGGAATTTCTTAAAGAAAAACTCGTTTGATTTGGGGTCGCGCTATATCTTAATGATGGAAATTCCGTATATCTTTGTACGCCTGTTTTCTGTAAAATTGTCTGATTTGACGTAAAAAAAAATTTTAATTTAATTTAAATTTAATTTAAATTTAATTTAAATTAAATTTATCAAATCGAAAAATATATCACGTGATAATTTTGTAAAATTTTTCGACTTACTTCTTTGTTTTGAATTTTTTTAGATGAATTTAATAAAGTTTTTAATTCTCCGTGAGATGTTTGTTTTATTTCTTTACCTGGATTAACAAAAAATAAATAAATAAATAATTAATAAAACGATACAAAACAAACAAATAAATTAATAAATAAATAGGTTAACAAACATTGATAAAAAAATAATAATAAATTAATAAAAATTAAAAGAATAAAAAAAAAAAAAACGTTCGTGATAAAAAATTTTCTTTTTTTTAAATGTTTAAAAATTCGCCGCCATTTTGTTCTAAATTTTTTTTTTTTTTTTTTTTAATTTTTATTACTTATTTTAATTTATTATTTGACAACACTAACAACAAAAAAAAATGCCGACAAATTTAAATTCGACAGAAAAGTCAAACAAAAAAAATAATAAAAAAAATTTACTTTTTACTCGGTAATAAATTAAGTCTTAAGCAGTAAAAAAAAAAAAAAAAAAAAAAA